AATGATTCTATGATTCTATTCTATGATTTCAATTAATTTCAGGCTTTGTGCTCCTATTTTTAATTTTTTTTCTCCAATGGATAGTGGCAAGTTTTGGAGACAGTTCTCATGCTCTAGTCCCTCAGAAGTCATTACTATTCTATAATGTCCTGGCAGTTGTAATTAGTCCTATGTGATGCTGCAGATAGATAAGCAGCCATTCATAAAGACAAATAGTTAGGCCGCATCATTTATATGATAAATATAACATAGGCTCACTACAAGGCAGTGCAAATACTCGACATTTTCTTTCAAGAGTGCAGACATCTTAATGGAGGGTGCAAAAAGTGCCAAAAGATTAAGGACAGAAAAAGACTTCCAGCACAGCAACATGAAAAATTGCCAGAAGGTTGGCTTATCTGGTATTTTCATCCAATGTACTAGAGTCAGAGATGAGCTTCAAAGCTTTGGAAGGGGTGTGGCAACGTGGGAAGAGTTAACTGTGTGGATTCAGTTAGTGTCAGAAAGAGCTACTCCACCTTTATGCCCATTTTGAAAAACATGAGGTTAACATTTGCTTTCCTGTCAGAACAGTTCAGCATTGCTATTTTAAAATCAGCTGGTGTTAACCACAGTGCAAAAAGAGGGGTGAATATTATACAGTCCGCTTGGCTTAGTGGATTTGTGAACTTACTATAGTTTCTTTATTACACATGCTAGTCAGAAAAATAATGTCTTGAAAATTATATTGGGGGCAGGTGCAGTAGAAACATTTCTGCAGCCTGATTAAAAAAAATTTCCTGAAGTATGCACTTTACGAAACCATTTCCATTATTTTTCAATTAAACATTCTTAGGGGCCTTAACCCCCAGTAAAATAAAGATGAAATTCAGAAACAGGCAAGAAAAATGAGAGAGGGAGCCAGAGTCAGACATGAAGCTACTTGGCTGCACAGAAAATGGCCTCATCCTTTCCACCGACTTTCAGTTTAATTTTTTCCTTTCCTTTCCTTATTTGTTTCAAGAGAGTTCCTTGAAACAGTGCTCCTGCAAAGGCAGCTGATTTGACTTAGGTAGATAACACTAAGAAACTGTATCTTATTTTAAATAACGGTTTATCTCAACTAGAAAGGATTGCCCCAATTAGTCACTACCATAAATGACCTACATAATATGGAAGAAAAAGTGCCTTCAGTTTTCAGGAGTATTCCCTGTTCCTATTGGCAAGATGATAGATTACAGCAATGCATCCATTTTATCAGTGTATCTTAAAAACTGTTGTTGTAGAAAGGTGAAAAAGTTTTCTCTCTGGAGAAAGCTTGTCTTACAGAAATAAGGACAAGAGGAAGAATTTCAGCCCTAGGGAAGAACACGCATATAATTCCAAGAATTCACTTGAGGGATGAATTCTGAATTTGGGGGAAAAAAATAAATCTGAAACAATTAGCACCTCCAGGCTAACTGACCAAAGAAAAAACAAAAAACGGAGTTAAACTTCCTGATTTTGCATGTTCAGCACTTTTATATCCTTTTGGTCTTCTAGGTTCTGCTTCTATTACAGAACATCACTCCTCACTGCTACTCCTAAATCTCACTACTGTTCACTTGCCAATTTCTTATTAGTTGTCTTACTTCTTTATACTATGATCAAAGTTGTCGGTAGTTTAGAAATGTTCATTTTGATGAGGTGATGTGGACTTATTCTTCAGCAGCCTTTGCTTAAAAAGAAAAGTATCTACAACAACAGTAATGTTAATTTAGTTGTAGAGAGAAGCATAAAATATGAATCCACTGAGTCTGTCCTTCCCTCTGCAACCTCATCAAAAGTAAAAGAGGATTTGCTCAATGACTATCTAAATTATTTATATCTAAATTAACTAACACACTATAAAACTTGTGAGTGCCGTATTCAAAGGAAGAGGCTCCAGTGATATAACCAAAGCACACAGGAGATAACAGGGTTCTAGTCTCTTGGGGCAGTTTGAGCTTCTAGCAGAGAACAATGGCTATTAGTGATGGCACAATGTGCAAAACCACACATCACCCCTGGGAGAAAGATAGCATGGGTCAGCTGAGTCCTGGCATTTAAAAAGCTTATATTGCTTCAAATCACACTTGACTTTGTACATACTTAAAATTAAACTCTTCATAGTTCTAAGGCCACTACCTGGTAACAAAGGAATTGCTAGGAAAGAATAAAAAATAAAAAGAGACAAACACCCAAAAAACCCAGAAAAAAAGTCCTGAACCAACAATTAAGTCTGAATGTAGTTAAGAAAGTATCAGATTAAAACTGTAACTTGCCACAACTCCTCCTTAAGAAGAATGCTTTTTTAGTAATACTATTTCCAATTATTCCTTTCATTACTTACTGTACTGCTTAGATACCATGATCTAGATCAGAGAAAATAGCGGCTTGACTTCCTAGCAAAAGCAGACACAGACACAAAAACCATTGTAAAATCTCTTTGACAGAGGGAACAATTAAATATATGAGTTAGGAAGCCATCCTCACTGCAGCCTGAAGTCATCTATGTGGGGGATTAAATCTGGTTTAGTTCTGTTTAGCTCAGAACAGGGAGGTGATCAGTCAGAATTAAGGGCAGAAAAAAAAGAGCTGTTCTGACCAACACGGGACTTGTAGCCACATAGCTAGTCCTAACTGATACTGTTCTGGTAATACCAATCTAGAATTTGCCAGCATATATAAAGATTTGGTTCACTTTGTATGCATCATTTGTGTTAGAAATAGTACATTGATGTGATGTCTGTTTCTTTAGAGAGAACCAGAGGTAATACTCCAACTTCTCCTTTGTAGTTTCTGAGAAAGTCTTCCCTGCCAAAAAGCCACATTGAGTGAATACTAGGCACATGATTCACTTCTAGTCCTCGTTTTATGAATTCAGATACACTGTGAAGCAACGAGTCCCTCAACAGCACAGTAACAAGCTTTTTTCACATTGCTAAGGTATTGTTCTATAAAGTGACTTTTCAAAAAGCAGGATTAGCTGATGACCACTGGTAGAAAGGTTTATTTCTGGGCAATCTTCCCAATTTTCACTTAGTCATTGCCATCATTTTCTGAAAAAGCTAAAAAAAAAGCCTAAAAATAACCTTAATTTGATAAATGAGCCTTACTTTTTGGAACTACTGAACCCCTCATCACAACAGTTAAGCCAGGTACGTAGCTTTTCTAGACACCTAAAGTGGCATTCCCAGATACTGAAGCAGCCCAAACTGCTCTTGAAACTCTAGAAAATAATCTTACTGTGGAGATTGTGTGTCTTTCTTGGAACAGTACATTGTACAGGTATTAGTGAGTGCAGCATTTCATACAATATCTTGTATTTTAAAGTAACAAATAATACATTAATGATTCCAGAGGCAAATCACAGAATCACAGAATGGTCAGGGTTGGAAGGGACCTCTGGAGATCACCTATCTCAATCCCCCTGCCAAAGCAGGTTCACCTACAGCAGGTTGCACAGGTACACGTCCAGGCGGGTTTTGAAGATCTCCAGAGAAGGAGACTCCACAACCTCTCTGGGCAGCCTGCTCCAGTGCTCTGCCACCCTCAAAGTATAGAAGTTCTTCCTATTAAGATGAAACTTCCTGAGTTTCAGTTTGTGCCTGCTGCCCCTTAACCTGTCACTGGGCACCACTGAAATGAGTCTGGCTCCATCCTCTTGACATCCACTCTTAAGGTATTTACAAGCATTGATGAGATCAATAAATCTATAGACAAATTTTTATGGAAATGTTTACCAGGAAAAACTAGCCAACCAATTATTCTGAGTAGCTGTTATCAAAAAGGCAAGTTTGTATTTTAGCCAAGCTGTATAGAAGCTCTACTTTGAGGACAAACAATGCAGGCTAGAAGATATAATTTCTGTAAGTCACTTCTTGATAAAAAACTGAGGAGCTTTGTTTCATGATATGACTAAAGCAGAACAGCACTGGGAAAACTGCCTCAGGAAGTCCACACACAATATAAATCATAGTCAGATTTTCCATACCTTTCTAGACACAGGAACTCCTAAAATATCAAACCAATGTGACTAGAAGTTCAATGTTCAGCTGATAAAAGGCTCTGCAGACATATTTTGCAAAACAGATCTGTAAACTACTTCTATCTCTCTCTCTATAGATATTTTATAAGAAAATCTGAGTGTAGTCTCTTAATGAGATTTCCTGGACAAACTCAAAATGAAAGCTAAACTAGTTCTCACTAAAAGCTACACAAAACTCATGAGAATTTCCAGTAAGAGAAAAAGATCAGTAATAACAAAGATGCCTATTTGGGTCTCAGAGCTTGCTGCTCGACTCTTAGCCATGCTGATAGCTTATTTGTATATGGACTTCTCTGGAAAGATTTCTACTTTGTTATATCTAGCAAATAATAGGCATAGAACTCTTTGGGTCAATGCCATTATTATGCAATAATATGCATAAAGCTTTTCTTGGTGATGCTCAGATATTGCTTATTACAGTGAGATATGTTTGATGGAGATTTGCAGTATATTGTACAGTATAAATACTGTAATAATAATGTTATTAACACACTTTTTTTAACCCAGCTTTTTCTTCTTCATACATTGCGTCCCTCTAAATACTTGAAAAATTATTTGATACTTAACACCCATGTTGTACACTAGTAGGTAGCATTTTTTTTCTTGCATTTTTAAAGAAGGGATATCTCCTCATGCTCTTTTATTAAATGGTCTCATGCAGGGTAAATAGGAGGCTTTGCATGGGCTTCAAGAAACTACGGACCAGGATTTGAGACAGAAATGTAAGATGTCTGTACAAAAGTGCTACTTTTTTGAAAGTATCTTTTATCTGTTACCAACGTTAAGGATTTCAAATCAGTTATTAATAGCAGACATTAATCTTATGATTATATTCTTATTGTAATCTTCTCTGAATTTAAATCACATGGTGTGACTCACTGATCACTGACAAAGGAAGAAGCTCGAATCTTCATTCACACAAGAAGGCTCGGGTCCCAGGAAACATGTCTCCCATCATGCATTCCATTCAGAATTTCAACATCATCTTCTGCTATTGTAAAATCAAACACCTATGGGAATGCATATATAGTTAATATCATGAATATAGAGAGAATTGGGAGTGTTTCTGTTATTTGAACTGACCAAAATTCATTTAAATGTGAGGCAGAATTTTTCTATATTTTTCCTTCTGGAAATTCTTCTTATATTTTGTTACAGACAAATATTCTATTAAGCTGACACCCTCCATTGGGTCCTTTGCTCCTTTTGTGACCCATTTTTAAATCTGTAGACTCTGTTAAGATGGTTTTGTAGCACTCTGGCCTCAAGCAAGGGTCCAAGAGAATGATAGTATCAAAGCCATTTTTGACAGCATTCCATACAGTCACTGCCAGAGGTATATGAATACCCTGACCGCAATCCCTCTGGAAACCTGAGCTCAGTATTTCACTTATGTCCCAATGTTCAGTTTAGAGTGTTACAGTTCTCCTCAGAACTTTAGCCAAACAGAATCATTAAAAGGTATCAGGACACTCACGAAGCTAGTGAACCAAAGGCTCTATCTATCTTTTCTATGTGTACTTAGACAAAACACTCATGCATCAGCCAATACAGAAACAGATACAGTGCTATAGTGCCTCAGTACTAACTCGAACTTGAAAGCAACCACCTGTCTTCACGCACAGCCACTGACTTCTCCTGTGGTGAGACCTGCAACATGAATGATGATGTCAGTGTTTTCTTAGCAGGTGTCTCATTCAGACATTATCACTTTGGAACTGAAGCTGCTTTAAGCTAGTCTGTTGTCTTTGTCAGAGCTCCTTCATACTCCATCAAAAGATCCCATGGAGCCTGAACTGCTGCCAAATGAGCTCCTCCCATCCTGCATTATCCAGCAATCACTGTCTGCTGGAATGACCCTTGTAGTCAAACCTCAGTACTCAAGCTTTTTAAACCTAAACCAGGGACCAGTCACAGAACTAGAAATACTATATATAATACAATATACTGAGGGCTTAATGAGGTCAATGTTTTCACCAACTTGACTAGAGGCGGTAGAGACTCAGGCCAACACAGTGACATGAGGCGGGGGGAAAGGGAGATGTGATAAACAACATTTGATAACTGTGCCAGTTCTCCCTTTGTCCTCTGCATCCTAACTGTTTTAAGTTTTGTTGCAATGCATTCCCTTGGTTGTATGAAAAGAATTGGTGGGGTCACACAGTAAAGTCTGTAAAAAACAGAATTAATCTGGATTTAAAATATCATTGGCAAAAATAAAATAAAATAAAAAGCATAAGGAAGGGGTTTTAAACTGTTTTTGTTCTCTGATCTGGTTCACAATACCATACCACAAACAGCTGTGCTTGTACCACAGAAGACTGTACACGTCAGAATAAATAGTCAAGGCAGGGGCTGTATAAACAGGCATAGCCACCAGGAGAAATCCTCATTACATGTACGTTGATTTACATCTACTCACACACACAGTATTTAACTAGCAGACAGAAGTTTCCTATCTTCTCGCAAAGTTTCTTCCTGATTTGCCAAACAGTTCATACCCCCATGATATTTTTGGAAGTAACAATAAGTTTGTTGTGGTTTCCCCTCCCCTCTCCCAAAGAAAGCACACTTTCAGATTAGAGAAATAGAGAGAAAAATGAAGTAATGAATTAAAAACATTTGGTACAAAAAGAATATAAAAAAAGGAGGATGGGGGGAATCATGCTGCCAATCCTGATTCATTCCCCACTTTTCTTTGTCCATCCCCTTCATGCTGGGACCTTCTCTGCAAGTTGAGTAGAAGGAAGAAAATAGGGGAAGAATCAGCTCTGGCAGGACCAAGATTTCCTTAGAAGGTCTCTATCTCAGGTAGCCCCAAGAGAGTTTTACAGCTTTTGTACAGCATTATGCACAGCATACAAACTCCTTCCTACGTGCTTATCACAAAAAGGACCTAACTATAACCAGATAAGGATGTTCTGCAATCAGCCAAGTAATAAATAAAAATATTATTAATAAAAATCAACTATGAAAGGTCTTTCTATGGATCTTTTTTATACACAGTGATTAGCCCTCCAGTTGATTTCTGACATTTGTGAAGTATGGTTTTCTACTATATTGTAGTAATTTTATGGTACTATAACTTGCCAATTTTAACCAAGTTGCCCCAATATAAAAGTGGTATAGGAAAATGGGCAGGCAAACCAAAGTATTAGAAACAGTAATTCGGATGTTAGTCAGACTTGAGTGCATAGCCAAATCTTACCTTGCAGTTTTCCTGTATCCTTTCTGCTTTTGTGGACTTTGGAATAGTGACAATCCCATTCTGAAAGACATAACACTTCTCATCATTAAAATTTACATAGTTTCAAAGAAAATGATCTCTCGTCAAAACATTTCAAGACATTCCTCATGTCTTCTGAGGTTTTAATTTCATTTTTCAGAGGATGCTGACATTTCTATATGCTATTTTTAACTGCAGTTATATACACTGCATTAAATTCCAACACAGATTATGTGGTTTATGTCAACTTCATACACTATTTCACTGCTTAGTACTTTCTGTTGAGTGACAGAAATGGAACAATGCCCCATACTGCTTGTAACATTTCATTTAAGAAAACCTTTTATTGGTGCTTCTTTTTATTCTCTACAATCAGATTATGTGCATTATTTAAAATACTGCCATGTTTTGTATACTACATTCCAAATTTCCAGTACAGCACAGTTAGTTCATGTGATATCAACGTACTGAAGGCAAAAATACTTTCTGTATAAATTCTGGTTTGATGCACAAAACCCGAAGTATTTGCATTTTTTTCCTGCGAGGAGATACATTTTTATTACCACCCACCATTACCTGTATGCTCCAGCGTATGCAAATCTGTGCTGGAGTTCTGCCATATTTCTTTGCCAGCTGAATGATACTGGGATGAGCGAGTGCTTCACCTTTGGCTAAAGGAGAGTAGCCTTCAAAAACAATACCTCTGCTCCTACAATAATCAACCAGCTCCTGAGGTCTTTGGAAAGGGTGGTATTCAACCTTAGATAAATAGAAACAAACCTTGAGAGTGCATTTAGTAGAAAACATCATTGATAAATGAAAATATTTTTTCTCTCATTTTACAAATACAATATGAGTGAAATCACTGCTTCTGGGAGATAGATGTAAGTTTTAGAAGACATGTGAAGGATATTAATCCACGAGCATTTTGCCATTAATTGGCACAATAGTTTACTATGTATTTTATGTTTTGGCCAGACGTAAGGTGCACGGAGCAGTTGTCTGCCCTTCCTGCAGCTGGACTTGCACTCTTGTTCTGCTCTGTGTTTGAGAAATATACGCATAGTGAATGTCAGCATCAGGTCATTTTTATTGGTGATTTGAGACTACCTTCTCTTCCCCAAATCTACTTCCTTTCCTGTTTCTTTACTAATGATCTTTGAGTTGCACAGGCAAGGGGAGGGGGCTGGGTGGGGCCTGGATTTGCAAGAGACCAACCAGCACAATCTGCTCAGGATGAGGGCCTGACCTTGGAAGCAAAGCCTGTTGGCATGGATTGTACACGGAAAAATCTTGTATTCTGTGTGTGGTGTCACCAACAGCTTATGCAGGGAAGCAATCACGCTCTGGAATGAAGTGTGAAGGAGACCCTTTGTAGGAAGGAAGATCACAAATTGCCAAGAAACAGTTAAAAGATGAAAAGTAACAAGCAACAAAGACATAGCTGTTGGAAGCAAAAGCAAACAGAAGTTATTGGAAAGTAAGGATCTTGGAAGAGCCACGTATTCTGGCATGTAGCAAAAGCCAAAAGAGAACCTCTGTAATATTCCTTAATATGTGATTTAAATAAGTATTTCACAGATTCTACATTGTAAGAAGCATACCTTCCTCTGCATTCAGATAAAAGTGGGTAGTGTTTTCTTTTATAAAATACATAGTCATGTGATGTATTTTTGTAACTGGCTGTCACCATTGTTCCAGTGATCTAACTCTTGCACATTTTGAAGAAAAATACTCTTCTGAACAATTACCTCAACACATGGAATCTGGAAAATTTCTTCTGCCATGAAGAGGACAAATGAACATTTCCTGTTTCTCATCTTTAGTACATGTTGTCTTTTCAGACAACAATAGTTGGGAACAATAGGCTGGCAGTCATTCAATATGTGCTAAGAAAAAACTGCCCCTCGAAGGCTGGGCTGAGTCAGCCTAAAGCTGCTATGATCTAAATTACTAAGTAGACTCGGGAAAAAGGTTCAAGCAGCAGACATCCATGTCTTTAACCTTTGATGTTTCTTGACCTTTGAGTAGCCTTTGTATTTCATGTTTATATGTGTAAGACCAGTCTTTAGGTCATACAGTTATTCACTTGTTTGCACCTGAGCTCGCTAGAAATTTTTTTTTTTTTTTTTTTTTTTTTTTACACAAAACTATGAGGGGAAAAAGAAAGAGCAAGCAGGGTGTATTACTTGATGATTACAACAGTAATAAGCAATTTGAGCAGACGTTCTTTACACTAAGTGTAATAACAATATAGCCTAGAAAATATTAAAGAATGTCGTATTCTGGATCAAATGCTGAAAAAACTGCAGCAGCACCACTATGGCAGCAGGTGACTTATTCAACATTTATTACTAATATAACTGCAAGCAGAATTTATCTGCTGGTCTAATCAGATTTCTAGGCAGCACAGTTCCAGGTTCATAGAATCCTTGAATGGTTTGGGTTGGAAGGGACCTTAAAGACCATCTTGTTCCAACCCCCCTGCCACAGGCAGAGACACTTTCCACCAGACCAGGTGGCTCAAAGCCCCATCCAGCCTGGCCTTGAACACTTCCAGGGAGGGGGCATCCACAGCTTCTCTGGGCAACCTCAATCCATCCCACTCCTGGATAGATTGAGGTTACACCAGAAATATTTAAAGCAAGAAAAGCATGCTGAGATGTCACCTGTCTGCTTCACAAGCAGAATACATAGCCACAACTACTTCCTACTTGGGAAAATGATATTTTGTGTCTTTCACTGAATCAAGAGACTCCCAAGTTTCGTGAATTGATTTTGGCACATGCACTTGTGTGTTGGGAGCAGCAAGTATTGCTCTTCTTAAATATATTGCTAAAATAATCAAATACTTAAAGAAAATAAGCACTTTTGAATTTCTTTTTTTGTGAAAACTTTCTGGAAGGTTCTAGCACCATCTGAATGCAAGGGACTAGCCTCCTGAGCTAGGAGAGGCATAGGGTGAGTGGCCAGCATGTGCTTCCCCTCCAAATAATAATTCCCACTTCCTAGCTTGCCCCACCCTTGCTATTTTAGTCACCAAACTTTTCTCAGGCAAGGGTTGTCCGTCATGTGGTGGTAGAGGAAGATCTCGATCTTTTCTGGCACTCTACCCTCAGTGATTTGTGCGCAAAAACTGGCATTTGTTTAATAAAACAGTTTGCAGTTCACATTGCAGAACTCTTCCCAGCTGCTACCTGGTCAGCCACAAGGAACTCTTAAGTACACGCTGTTTTTTATGACAGTCATAGCACAATGGGGAAAAGTTGAGCCTAATAACAATCCTGACACACAGATCAGGAAAGTCATACCTCAGATGATGGTATACAAAAGCCTTACTCTTTCCACCCTGCTGTGGGTTCTTTTCACCTGGTAAAGCTTCCCTGCATCTGGACTTCAGTCAGTTTCTCAATGGGAATACGCAGTCGTAACATTATTTCTCTTTATAAAACTGAAATGTAAGTCCAGAAATGTTTTCTCTATATAGGAACAGTTCAGGTGAGTTTATGTACAAAGTGGTTGTTTCCTAACGCCTCAAAATGCAAAAATGAAATTCTTCCTGGTGAGGGTGGTGAGGCAGTGGCATAGGTTGCCCAGAGAAGTTGTGGATGCCCCCTCCCTGGAAGTGTTCAAGGCCAGGCTGGATGGGGCTTTGAGCAACCTGGTCTGGTGGAAGGTGTCCCTGTCTGTGGCAGGGGCGTTGGAACTAGAGGATCTTTAAGGTCCCTTCCAACCAAACCAATCTATGATTCTGTGATTTCTACCCTGTACAAATTTATGTAATAGAGCTCAATATTAGTGGCAGTATTAACAACATTACTAAATCTCTCTGAGGTCATTACACAGTAATTTACACTTCTATAAGTAGAAAAAATATTGATG